GATCAAGAGATGGAGCCAAAGAGACCCTTGTTTCATAAAATATCCATCTATCTGAGGGCACCATTTAAACCCAGGAAAGGTTCGAGTTTTCTGTGCGCTAGTTCCTTGCTTAGTTGTTTGAGCATGGATCTTAGTTGGTGATGTCTGGAACTTAGTTGGTTGAGTTCAGAACTTAGTTGCCCTACAAACGGTATGGTAGTCTATAGGTACGTCGGTGTACAGCACTACTGTCCAAGAAGGGGTGTGAAAGTTTGGGGAGAGGATGTACAGTGTATTGAACCACCTTGAACCTACTTGAACATCTAATTTAAACATATCTTGGAACAATGCATGTGCATGTGAACAGTTAGGATTTTTTTTAGTTTGTAGGAACCGATCTCTGAACTATAGAAACCATATGAACCTATGGGAACCAGGTAGGAACCAATTTGGAACCAAATGGAACCAGTTTGTGCATGGAAGAGCTTGGAGATGGATTTTCGTTTGTTTTTGCGGTTTTTGGTGTTTTTTGATGTTGTTTGACCCATGTCTTAGGAACTTGATGTTGTGAACTTATTAGGTAGGAGTTTTTTTAGGTTATTTGTGAGTTTGAGCTGCAGACGTTTTATTTGGAGAAACTGGAAGAACGTTTTTGGAAGCTTGAGAACTCTTTTGAAGTAGTTTGAGAAGTTTGAGAACGTTTGAGTGTCACTGCGTTTTCTTCTGCACGACTCTTCTAAGAAGAAAAGTGACTGAGCTGTCAAACCTGTGTGGTTTGGCTCAAGTCCGAGCTGTGAAAAAGAACCGCTGCGCCGCTTCTTGCGTTTTCACAAGCCATGATGTTCGCTTTTCTGGGCGACAAATCCATTTGCCTTGATCAACGTTCGGAGATCGAGATGATTGCTTGAGGGACCATCGGCATTGAAAGCGCTCCATCTTTGCCAGAGCTGCTGGGATTTGCTTCCTTCGATGTCCGATTTGCCTTTTTGAAAAGGTTGAAGTGCAGACTTTGGATGTGAGAAGCTTACTTTTGTTGTTGCGACCGTGTTTCAGCTGACTTTTGGACCGTGGATTGACTGGAACATCGCATTGACAAGTATTTTGAGTCTTCATAAACGTCTGGGAACTCTTTTTGCTTTGTTCGGATTCTGTGACTAGAAGATGGAAGATTAGTTCTCTGAACCGTCCTGCAAAAGCGAGTCTCGCTTTCTCCTTGAAATTGGAGTGGGGGTTTTCTACGATTCTACGAGGGAAAAAAACAGCTTCGCGGACCAAGTTTTGGGTGTTTTGTGAAAATCGGTGCCGCCAATGCGGGGCCTCCGTAGTGCAGATCAGCGCAAGAATAGGCCATTGTCGTCGGAGTATAAAAGTGTTAGTTGTTGGAAGAATTTTTTTAGAGCTTGAGTGATCTTGCATTCAACATTTCAACCCATTCTCGCTCATGCCCGCGGCAGCCACTGCCTTACACCCACGCCGTCCGTCGCCGTCGCAAGCTTGAACTGGAGAGCTCCATTTTTACGCGCTTGCTTTTTCTCACGTCTTGGAGACGAAAAAAGAGTTCCTTTTGGCATATTGTTTTGGTCCAAGTTCCATTGACTTTCAAGGCCTGCCTCCAAGTCTGTCTCGAAGCCTGCCGCGAGGTGTCTCGTTCTAAATTCCATAGTCTTGAGCGGCCTGAAATGGCCTGAAATTGTAGCGAGGTAGCACAGTTAAGGACCGCCCATAACAAACAGGATGGAAGCTGAAGGAGAAACAGGAGGTGTTGCAGGTAATGGGGAACTGTGTTTCGTCGTGCTGCCGTTTTGTTTTTTTTGAGTGTCGTTTTTCTGTTTCCTGGTGAACCGACAATCTTTGCTGGTCAACTTTTTCAAGATTCAGTGCCAATTTCCATGCCGCTGATGGAGTTCGCTTCTCGATCTGTATACTGCCTTGGTTTCTTTCTGCAGAAACGTCCTACAGAGCATTGACAGCCAGACCAGAGGGAAAAAAGTAGTGGAGATTTTCGCACACATTGGCAGCGTTGGGGAAACAGCTGGAAACGTCAGCTCTTTTGGAACAGATTGTGTACGTTGCAGATAGCAGTTGCTGATTTGACCAGAGTGAAATATCGAGTTGATAATGCAGTGCGTCTCCAGTATCTTTATCATTAGAGTCTTCCTTGCGCTCTGTGTAACTTTGTTAGTACAGCAAGGAGCATTCCACTAAAGTGCAAACGGCCTGGTGATCCTCCAGCTCTGAGACCTTTAATGCTTATACACCAGATGGGCTGCGATTTCTTTCTTCTAGTGACAGAATGAAGATATTCAAGGCAAACAAATTGTATTGCCTTACGGCTAAGCTTTTTTGGAGTCGTCCTCGTGGCTCAGTCGGTATTTCGTCAATCTTGACGCTGACAGACTGCCGATAGCAGCTCGATTACCCGCTGGTCCGCGAGTAAAACTCGCTGACTCAGTTGGCGCCTCGAGCTGACATTACTGAGTACTGCAGGTGACAATGCTATTTTACCAGCATTACGTGCTCAAACTGGCTTGCCCTGTACGTCAAAACTGCTGCCTCTTCCCAACATATGCAGCTCGAGTGGCGCTTATAGGTTTTCAAAGTACCTTTTGCAGGCCGAAGTGAACAAGGAACTTGCTGAACCGACTGAAGTACGCTGTTACTGTTTAACTCAAGGACTTAAAACTTCTTCAAGTTCTACCTGCTCTGCTGCCTTCGACATAGTTGCAAGAAAGAACGTGGGTGTCCAGTCAGCAGCTTCAACAAAATGAGATTATATAATAGAACTGTCACGAAGTGTAGAAGCTAACCTGCAAAGCGTCGCAATGAACAGCTTATTAAGGGTACAATAGACTCCGAGGTTGCCAAAATGTTGAGCTGCAAGAAAGAATATCCTTTTGTGGGAATGCGTGCTCAAGGGGGTGGACTACCCCGACATGGGTGTCGGAGTAGATAGATGCTTCTTTTGAACCATCAGCTGACACCGCATTTGCTGGCGTTGGTGCAGTGCTCTTTGCCACGTCAAAAAAACTTTTGAAATTCTTAGCAAAGCAGCTTTCAGACGCCATGATAGCAACTCTGAACCCTACTGCGAAGAAGAATGCAATCTTCGAGGGTGATTTCTTTGCTTTGTTTTGTGCCTTCCTTGCGTGGGGTCATGAAATGTCCGATGCAGTGGTGATATACACCAACAACGCAGTCAGAGAGATGCCTTGATTGCGTGCCACACCGCCAACACGCTTGCCCGAAAGATGCTCGTTGCTGCGCTTGGCTTGGGGTGTGAGAAACACTTGGCACCTTGGTACGCAAGGGTCACCACGGATTCGAATCTGGCAGATGGACCATCTCGTTTGCAGTTGGAACGTGTTTTACAACTTGAGCTCGTGGCCTACTACAAGAAGTGGGGAAAGACCAGGCCGTCGAAACTATCCCACATTTCAAAAAGGTGTGAGTGAGCGCACCGTACAGTTGTCACCTTCAAAACTTGCCTGCAATCAGCTCACATGTATGTGCTTCAGTTCGCATGTCGTTGCATCAGCCAGCGGTTCCAAGTCCCACAACGAAACGGTTATGAAGTGATTCTGATAATGACTTATGTGACGAAGGAACATGTGGACTCGCATCAGCTGGCAAGGTCACTTCAACATTTCAAACACCTTTCAGGATCTGAACGTTTACTCACATGTCGTTGCAACCCAATTGTGGGTTCAACTGCCCCACCCTGGAGCCGCCCTTGGCACTTGGCAGTGCTCAAGACTTTGCTTGACGTCTTCATCCAGTTGATTGCCAAACCTTCGGCCTGAAGACCAGGCCGTCGAAGGTATCCCACGTTTCAAAAAGGTGTGAGTGAGCGCACCGTACAGTTGTCACCTTCAGAACTTGCTTGCAATCAGTTCACATGTCCTTCAGTTCGCATGTCCCTGCATCAGCCAGCAGTTGCAAGTCCCAAACATTTTGAAACTCATGCGTGGTGGCTGCCAGCGGTTGACCGGGAGACCACCCCAACATTTTTTTGAGCTATGCTTTACTTCCCTTCGCAACATCAGGTTTCCTTTTCTGATCTTGCAAGTGGCACACGAATCCCGCCCCACAATGCGTCGGAGGGGTTTCTCCTTCATTGTTTGTTGTGGATCGTCGTTTCATGCAGTGTAGATATGATTGGTCTGATTGGTAGTTCCACGAAATTCACCGGCCCTGTTGTATTTTGCTGCGAAGTTCCATTCCAGTCAAACATGCATCCCCCTTGTGTCAGGTTGTTTTTTATTTGGATACATTGCTGACGTGTGGTCCTTCTAGCATTTTACCGACAAGCATCTCGCATGGGAAAAAAAATGATGGAATTCAACTTTCCGACAAAAGGGGGCATGTGTTTCAAACAACTTATCCAGCAAAAAAAATAGCGATTGGATGAGCGAGGGAAATTGAAACGGCAACCCCGTTTTATTTCTGTTGGTTTGAAAGTTTCGCGTTTAAACTTTAGTTCCCTTGTTTATACATTGACGTATTTGTAAATGGATATTCGCGTAAAATGAATGAATGCCACCTTCAACACGGGAGTGTTTGACAAAATGTCCAATATATGCGTTTGAATAGAACGTGTGACAAAAATGCTTAATTACGGTGTGCCGTGTGTGTCTTACAAAAATGTCCCTCAAAAACTGTGTTGCAATGGTGTCCTTTAAAAGTGTTTGACATCGTGTTCCGCAAAAATATTTTGCAGAAATATCCAACAAAAGTATTTGACAAAAACACCGACAAGAGCATCTTTGAAGAGTGGCCGACAAAAAGTGGTCCTTGCCGAACAAATATGCAATTTTTTTCCAGCCGTCGCTTGCCGCTGAAATATTTCATTCTAAATTGCATTTATTCCTAGTTGGTCATGTGCCTTGGGTGGGGCTGGCCATGTGGTTAAGATCCTAGATTAATTTTTGGTTTCATGCTCGGGAAATTGGGTAATCAATTTGCCCTTCACGGACACTTGGTGCATGCCAATCAGTCGATGGTTCATTGTATGAAAACTTTGTATTGTTTTGGCCCAAAAGCCTTCAATACCAGATCTGCCATGCGAAATGCAAATTTTGAGGAACTCAATCACAAAAATGGAGTAGTCAGTGCATGGGTACATGGTGCCCCGCGAGGTGTGCCGCGGTGGCATATCAATCAATCTGGATGAGTATGATATTTTTAGTTATCATTTGCAAAAATCAAATTAATTGGAACTGGGGGGGTCAATGGATTTTGATTGCATTCATGTGAGTCTAAACATATTGACATGGGATTTTCATATCATATAGGGACACGAATGTTTGACTGAACACACACACACAGACGTTTCTTCACACGTTGTATTATGTGGCTGGTGCTACTCAAATGGCCCAGGAATGGCACTCACACGCCTGGAAAGTGGATTCCAGTTCCAAAAATTCATGGTGCACCTTCCCGGAATCGCAGGAGGCGAAACAGCAATGAAACATGGCGTTTTCTTTTAAAAACAATTACTGAATTCCCCAGTGATTTTGATGATCAAAAAACATGATTTTTGTGTGATTTCTGGGATATGGTTTTTCCAGTCGGTGCGAGACATTTCATTTGGCCATTTCACCACTACCCTTGTTTCTTGGTGATCATTGGTTTTGGATGTTTGTTGCCGCGCATGGCTAGGGGCAATTGGTCTACAACCCGTGCGGTCCAATGCCATCGAACAATCATAAACGCATTTTGTTTTTCTTTACAGGCCAGGGATCAATTTTTCTGCACATTTTTGCTGAATACGATTCCAGAACTGCTCATGGGATCGTGTTGTGAGTTACCTGGCCTTACAAACCAAAGAAACATGCATTATTTCGGAGGAATCTTCAATTTGACGCTCGATATGGACAATCTCATGTTCAACCTCTCCACCCCGGGATCTTCGCGGACTTTTTGGCCAAGGGCTCTTGGCAGCGATTGCCAGGGTCCGCAGGATGTTCATGATTCAGATTTTCTGAGAGGCCGGCGCTGCAATTTTTTCTCACATGTCTGAGGCTGTTAACGTTGCAGCAATCTGCCGACAGGTTACCCCGTGCGCTTGGTTCGTCAAAGGAGATACCTACACCATTGGCTTATTGTCAATGCGTCTTGCAGCTCGATCTTGAATTGTTATGTTTTGAGTTTCCAGCTTCAATGAATTGATTTTCCGAATCTTCCAAAATTGTTGATCCAGAATTCTGTTGTTTTGCTTCACTGAGGTGCAGATAACACTGCATCTTTGGAGTTTCGCATTTGGAGAAAATGTGTGGATGTTCACTTGATTGGAGACCAGCCGCAGTTCTCTGGGAACTTCCAGGAAGGATTCGTTAAAACGGTTCCTGCTCTTGATTTCAAACGAAAAAAAATGAATTTGAGGCAGCTAACTGCTGCCCTACCATCAGATGATGCTCGCAGGAGTCCAGCGGCAGAACTGGCTATGGTGACAGCTATGCAGCACTTGGTTTTTGCTGCTCTGGACTCAGGCATCAACAATCGGCAGCAAGGGTGTGTTTTTTGATTGGCCAATTTTTTTAATGCAGAATCTACATATTGATCCAATCAATGGATGATCAAACAATTGCAATACCCTCAACTCAACGATCCCCAATTTTTTTTTAATCAAGATGTTTCTTGAGTTTGTGCCTCCGATTGAAACGGTGTTTCGTTGACCCCCTCAGATGTGATCTGATCGATGCCACCATGCCAGACTGCTGTCCGCTGCCTGGCAGCAACGGGTGGAACTTGGAGGGATTAGATGTCACTGCTTTGGGTGTGTCTGAAAATGGGGATACCCCGCGGATACCCCAAATGGGCATTTTAATATATTTTAATGGGAATTAATGATAATAATCCCGTGGAATCGGGACCCAATTTTCTGACAAACCCATATCTGCCATATGTAACTAGTCTGATCTTTTTAGCAGATATAAAGTGAAACAACAATGCATGAAACAAGGTGGTGCCACATACCATCATCTGAGATGTGCAATGAAAGGCTCGGCGAATCCTCGTGCGGATTCGGCCCTTCAAAGAGATGTCCTTCACCTTTGAGGAACTTCAATGGTGGATGTTCCAGAAAATGGATGAACATGGTGATTCATGCCACTTCACGCGCTCGCAAGAGCTGCCCAAGATATAAAGTCTAGTCTAGTGCAAAGATATCCATTGATCCAATGCAGGACAAACAATGTGATCCCCAAGCCTTTGGTCGTTGATGAGACTGGTACACGCCTGGGTCTCGGTTTTTCACAACTTGTGGAGTTTTAAAGATCACCTTTTTGAAAAGCAAACAGACTCAATACATCTTAATGCTGAGACAGTTTTTACATTTTTTACTTTAATCAAGGTGAAGACACCAGCAATTGCCAGGATTGCAATGACTTGAACTGCCGAGACCTTCATCCGTGGGGTGATGGCTATGCATGGCACGTCCCATTGACAGGCCGCCACGAAGCATTTCAGGCGCGAACCCAGAAGGTTTGAGTTGCGAGGACCGATGACTTCACGGATCACCCATAATATGCAAAATCTTTCGAAACTTCCTGGCTCACCAGCTCACCATGATCTGAGTTTGAAAATCCCATTAGCAAATCCTATGTCACCAGATGATGCAATCCAGGTGGTTTTGGAGAATCCCAACCATGAGACAGCGGATGTCCGGATCATTTTTCACCTGGATGACCCGAGCAAGATCACAGGTGGCGGAGCGTTGGGTATTGACAGATCACACTTTTGTTTTGGCAGCTTGGGTCATAGACAACGACGAAGAGGGCAATTTATGGGCTGCCATGCAGTTCCTTCCAGGTGTTGCAACTTTGCTTCGCAACATCAGCAACAAGAAGCCCTCGGGGTTGCACCTGCAACTGAGTTTCTTGTGGCAAACATTGACACAAAACTGTGAAATTAGATTGCTAAATCATGCAACGATCTTCATTGGATGCGCTGGCAAAACTCATTGCGACTTTGGCTCGAGGCATGCAGTCATCTATCTTAGGCAAGAACTGGCACATCAACGACTGCTATTGGGGTCGCATTCGTCACGATGGTGTTTGGTATTCTGCTGTTGTTCCTGGTCTCCACGATTGCAGAAGTTGAGGTATCGGCTTTTAGGGTTTTGCTTGTTGAATCTTGTTGATACGAAACCCTGGCGGAAGGTACAAAATCAAACTTTCCCCGGTGTTGAAAAGTGGCTTTGCACTTCGGAAATTTATTTTCCAATGGATTTTCAAAATGCTCAGTCTCCAGAGAATTGTGGCCATCATTTTTTCGCCCCAAGGTTGAGTTGTCTCTACCGCCATCGACACAACTCCAAGCAGAGCTTCTCGCAACTGGCCAGTGCTGGGGGGTGCAGTTGGCAGCTCCCCAGTGATAGGTTGAGCCACGGACTTCGCCATTAAAAACCTCGCTTTGAGGAGGTATAGTTTTTGATGATTTGCGAAAAACATGCGTGCTGTAATGATGCGTATTTGTCCAAGTGTTCTGGCAACTGTTTTCTTTGTTGCACCAGTTTTTAGTGTGGCCATGTGTGGTCTCCAGGTAATCTACCAGTTCTTCGGAAATCTTCACAGTGTGTCGCATGCGCAGCTCTCGTTGATAGGCAGGGTTTGTCACGAATTGCATCTTTGGGGTATAAACAGACATGCTCCAGGCTGGCCAGGTTCCAATGGCCTGTGGGAAGAGGTTGGCCTTGGAGCCGATGGAGAGTCCATTACCTATGAACCAAACATGTTGCTTGGACATGTGATGACTGGCAGGGTTATGGTTAGAGATGTTGAACAATTGATTGATTTTGATATATATATATGTATGTATAATACGTAATTATAGTTGATTGTTGAGTTTGGTTGGATTCATCTTGGAAACTTCGGTTGAATTCAGTGTTGCTGAGTGGCAGATGTTGATTGGGAGTGAGGCAACAGAGGAGGAGCGCAGTCCTTGACACTCGTCCATTTCTGGTTTGCATGATGGACTCGCCTGAGTGCCACTGCTTTAAGGACCCTGGATGGGCAAATACGGGTGGGATCCCACTATCAAAGCCAGTTGAACACCCATCCTGCATCTTTTGTCCGACAACTGCTACCAAGTCTGATTGAAGTCCAGTTTGAACCGCACTTTTGGGGGGGTTGTGATCCTGAGCCGGACCTATTTGATGTTTCCAGGGCCCTCTTCAGTTGTCACCATCACCAACTGGTTAGCGCTTGGCCGCCAGCACTTCAGGAGGTGAATGCCAGTGGCACTTTTCCAGAGATGCGTTGTGAGTGGAAAAAGGTGGGGATCCTGTCGAGAGGATTGTGGGGTAAATCACTTGGATTTGAGTGTGTTCGGTTTCGGAGTTGGACATGGATGGCTTTGGATTTTCGGAAGCCTAAATCCATTGGTTAATCGTCATTTTCCGCATGAAATGCCAATGACTTGGGGGAATGGCAACTTTTTCAGCACCTTGCCCTAAGGCCCAGCACAAGTGCCGTGGAGATTTTGAGACTACTGGATGGACAGAGAACCACGGCGGCTCTGTGCCTTGAACTTTGAATGGGTTCAAACAACAAAACTAGAGGATAGAATCGGATAGAACATACGTAATTTTACGATGAATGATGGCCCGGAATGAAATTCCATTCTTTCGATTTGATGACACGAGACCAAACCGTGTGGGTGCCACTTTGTATAGTGTTGAACCAGACCCAGGTGAAATAGGAATGAGTAGATTGAAGTGAAGTTTCGTTTTGAGTCCACACTACATCACAACAGCATTGCTGCCTTTATAGCCTGAGGATTTCCTGGTGGCTATCAACGAAACAGGGTATGTTCCTCAGAATTTCAAGCACAACTCAGCATTTTAATCTTGGCACCCGAAAGAGAGCTGTTTCAACTCCAAATTTGACATGTTTCACATGTGATCCCAGCTTGATATCTAAGGTCCTACCAGTACCTCACCAACGTCACTTCTTGGCACGTCTCTAATGGTCCCAGGTTCACCAATGCCAGCTACCATGGCCTCACCGCCGACGGAGCCGTCAAGGTGAAGCGCGAGGTGAGCACTTGGGCCACACGAGACGTGGCACGTCATTTGCACAGCTTCCGCTATGAAGTTTTAAGGATGCTGAGCTGAGAGTGGGCCAGGATGGTTCTGAGGCCCTGGCAAATGTTATGGATAGATGCCAGTGAATAAGGGACATCTTAGCAATACTTATGAGAATTCCAATGGGAACAGTGAATAGTCTCACTCCCAGATGATTTGCTGATGGAGTCCGAGTATTTGGGAGCTTTGCCTGTTGGAGGTCATTTGCGAAGAGTGTGACAGTGTCGCGACAGTCACTTTGTTTTTTTTTTTACTGCAATCACTTTTGCAAATCCATCTTGCAGGAACGTGACCTATCCCCGATTTGCACTCTACGTCCTGGGCGCGGATTGGTACAATTTTGTGGCAGATCCTGACATAGTTTATGGTGATCTGGATGGACTGATTGGCATGGCTGTGTATCTCGGATGTACACAATGGGACTGATTCCAATGTGCATGTGTTTATCCACAACATCACCTACATGTGATCTTGGGGAGGGCAACAGCCGGGGGAACATGAGCCTGTGTCTTGCGGATGACAGCTGCATTTTCAGGGCTGCGAAGCCGAGGAACCAGAGCGCCTCGTTGCAACGATTCGAATATTCGGAGCGGTGGAAGGACATTCCCTGCCACTTGGTGATACTGAAGCCGAGGCTGCCATGACCTGGAGCCTTGCCTCCCCCCAAAAAAAGGGGGACTTGAAATGACTTGAAAGGGTTCATAGGGGGCAAATAGTCTACTCCAGATTTAAGATTTGAAAGGATGGTGTACTTTGCACTTTGGGACCTTTGGGATGTTGGGTCCCTTGACCATAGTGCCATTTTGTGTCCTGTTGACCGAGGCCAGCTGCCTTGCTGGTTTGCTATGCTGACCAAAGGGTCTCAGGAGGGGATCGCACATTTGGACCAGGCCACAAGTTACATGTAGTTGGGCCTGTTGATGAGCACTGCTGATCTTAAAACAAGGAGTCCTTACCAGTGTTACCACCATTGTGAACACAGCTTTTGATTGATCTTCTAATGTCCAACTTATTTCACCAAGACCACCTTACAAGTATCCACAACCGTTTCTTACGTTTAGTACTATGTAATATATATATATTATATATATTATATATATATTATATATATATATTATATATATATATATATATTATATTTATAATATTAATTCAGCTGTCCTTCACCTTTCCACCCCCTTCGGATCATGATCCCAATTGAATCCAGTGGACTCATCGACTCATCTCCGTTTTGGTGGGTTCTTGGTGAACCAGCTCCCTTGGAATCCCAATGGATATCCCAATGAAAAACTTCATTTTCTGGATCTTATCCTATCTTTGGATTTGAAAACGTCGTTTGCACATATTTTATGAAACCCACACCAATATGTCATAATATGTCCTTATCCGCTTCTTTGAATGCGCACCTAAAATGACGCATGAAGTCAGCAATGTGCGACAACCCTTTCGCACTGCACAGGGGCACTTCATCGAGTGCCATCCCATGGGTGGTGCGAGTGGGCACTCATCCAGTTGACTCAAGACGCTCATCATACTAATATCAATCATATTTTTCCATAGATATTTCTATCTTTTATAGAATTTTCATGAACTTTCCATGTACTTTCCACATTTTCCATATATTTTCCATACATTTTCCATATATTTCGATATTATACGGCCTTGAAAGCACCAATAGCACCAGGAGACGCACCATGCCCATCGAGGACTCCTCCTACGCAGCTTTTCAGCGGGGCAGCTGCGAGGCAATCACCTGGGCTATGCGTTCAAATTTGGTTGCCGCATAATACATATAACATATATAGTAATATAATATATACATCCATGTGTATATATATATACATACCTATGTATGAATACATGTATGTGATACATATACAACTAATACAAATTATACCAGTATGTACAACGAGATTGTTAAATAGTAGTCAGGTCAGACCATCGCGGAGTGACCTTGATCTAGCTGGCACGAAGATTTCTAGGTTCTTGCCATTCACTGCTCATGTTTAGTTGGCACATGCTCAAGTGGATGTGATTTCTTGCGATTGGGGAGCCAGGCTATCCAATCGCATGGACATGGACAGGTCCAGTTTTCTCTCTGATCGGCGGCGACAACTTTGGTCTCCGTACTTTGGGTTTGGAGCTGGGCGTTGCAAGTGGCGGCTCTGTGCATCTTCAGGCAGGGGGGGTCGTTGCCTGATGGCATGCCGAAGTCCCCGAAACATATCCAAAGATAATCAAAACCAATTGGGTCCTCGATGGCTTTGAAGATATGCATCCGCTCTGGGCTGCAGGCTGGTGACGTGATTTCGGCCGACATTGAGCTGATGCTTTATCCAAAGAGCCAGTCAGTCTGAAACTGAGTTATAAATACGTTTTTTGTGAATTTAAGCTCGGTGCTTCCACGTGGTTCTTTTCCGTGACTTTTTGGAAGTGCTACCCTGCCATGGAGAAACGGCAGAACATCTCAGGTCTACTACGGGCAGGCACCCCTGCATCTCCAGGATGACTGGGAAATGGTCTTCCGGGAAGCCCAGCTGCAGGCCGTCCAAAATCAGTTCGGTACATCAAACGTCTCCAAAGTTGTCGAGGAACATTCAGTTGAATGTCATGTGGATTCAATTGCTAGATGTGTGCAAGTGATTTTTGGATGTCGGTGAGGTGGAAGTGCTTGAAGGTCATCTCCAACGTCAGTATCCACTGCGCCTTGCAGTGACAAGTGCAGGCCAGGATGGCAGGATTAACATTTCTGACATTTTTATACATTTTTGACCTTCTTTCGCTGAGAATCTGATTTGGGACGGTTTTTGGATGTTTTTGGACACTGACAACACTATGTTCACGCCGTTTCTAGGACTGTTCGGTTGGCTGTTCGCCTGGGAGGTCGTGCAGAGTTCATTGCAGCTCTTCCGAACAACTACTCAGGATGGGCTCAGCCACGCCAAACCTCCATCGAAGATGGCCATGGGAAATCCATAAATCCCGTATTGATGTAAATGGGAAATCCTCCATGTTTGATTGGCAGGTAGTTTACGGGAACACATTGGAACATATTGAAACCATTTGGAACCATGCTTGAAAGTAACATCTGGCAGGTGTGCTGCCGGTAACCATCGCAGGGGTTCAGGGCTTGCGAGGATGTCTCTGGCATTTCGCGGAATGCCAAGACCTGGGCGAAGGCTGGACTCTTCGTGATTCTGATGGACCAGATGGGACCAGATGGGACCAGACCAGCGCAGGTGGTGAGTTCCAAGTGGACTACATTGCTGATGAGGGCTACGCTTACACCTACAGTCGTTGCCTGAACTTCCGAGATCGGCTGCTGAAAGGCATGGCTTTACCTTTAGCATCCTTCAGACATGATCCAATTCATCCTTTACAATTTTTAAAATCCTTTGAGAATGGTGACACTTTGGGAATCCAGGAGCGTGGGTGCTCTTGTCTCCATTTTCCTACCCTGAGGTCTTCCGGACAAGGAAGTGATGCATTTTCTCTTCGAGTCGGACTGCAGGTTGCCAAGTGGTTTGCCCAAGCCAAACATTGTCTGCAACTGGAATCCAACGGAACAGTGATGATTTCTTACCTAAATAATCCTAAATAGAATATGTTCAAGATGGTCCATTTCCATTTCATTTCGATACAGCAGTGTTTTGTGGCTTGCCACGCGTTTGTGTTGTGCAGAGAATCGAAACATTTGCAGTATATCTTATCTTACTCTGCCAACAAGGAGCGCACTTGCAAACAAGTCGTGATCACCTTTTCGCCTTTCTTTGTCACATCCTGGTAGGTTGGATGAGAGTGAGACTTGCCATGCATGATAGTCAGCAGGCAAGTGCAGGGGCAAAGATCTCCTGTGTGATTGATGATGCGACGGCGGATGCATGAATCCCTGTATCCGCCTGTATCCTGAATCCTTTCACCCAGGTTGTGTCATGTGCCATTATGTGCCATTGCAGGAACAAAGACTCCTGGGAAATTTACATTTGAAAGTTGGTCTGGGACTCGTTGAAATGTGGCGAATCCCAAGACTTGATATGGCACAAAGTTGCCACGGCCAGGGTGCAACACGCCACCCCTGCCTTGCTGAAATCCTTTGTTTCGAGACCTCGACCCAGGACATTTCCATCGCAGCAAAATAAGAGAAGCTTTGGTTCATCAACAAAACACCCAAACATGGCACCACTTGAGCCACTTGATCGAATCGGAGCAATGTCATGGATGGAGCCAGGCCACTGTTGTTATTCGCTGGAAGTTTTGGATCGAATAAGGTCAGTCGCCGTGCACGAAGCTTCACAGGTGACCATGTCTCTTCGTATTGCTTTCCTTGCGATCTTCCCCTTCTTCGCCTTTGCTGAGGTGGAGCACTTGCCTGGGGTAAGTCTGCAATGGGCCATGGGACATGAATTGAGGATTGGCAAATTTGTGGCGATGAACCTTTTTAGAGTGGTGGTCAGGATTCTTGAAGGGTTTAGAAAACGAGATTGACCATCACTGAATCGAATGCTGGACAGGGTACAGCTTTGCCGTGCGAATCCAGTTTTTGACGTTGGACAGCTTCCTAAACCTTGAAAACAGCAGTAGGAAACTTTGAAACCAAGCAAATAAGGTGGTACCTGGCAACAGAATTCCCCCCAATTTGCAGGACACCGCTCCAGCACTGCGCGGTAGCCCCAACATCGATAGCATCCAGCAGCCCACGGCGGCACAGCTGACATGCAGTGGAACTGGGGCCCTGCCGCAAGCCCCGGTTGCTGGGCCATGGGGCCATGTCTTGCTTTTAATGGGTTGAGGATGGAAGTATTGGTAACATTAGTATTGGATAGTATTGGGTTTGATTGACTGAGGCAGGGGTGATCGGTGGACTCATCACTGAGGCTTGCTTTGGAGGCAACGTGCTGACCAATTGGTATGAGATCAAGGTGGTGAGCGTGGACGGAAATGTGGGAGTCGTGGACTTGAAGGTTGCATGGCGCATTTTTTTGAGTTTCCAAGTTAGATACATGATATTACATGATATTACATGATATTACATGATATTACATGATATTACATGATATTACCATTTTGAACTATTCTTCAAAAAATGCATATCTTTTCAGTTCCACCATTTTGCCAACCCGGCTCCGCCAGCCTTGCCAGCCTTGCCAGCTGCCCTTGCCACCAGCTGAGGCTGTTGGCCCGCTGCCGGCATCGTGCCCTGGCGCCCATTTTGAGAACAGTGCCGGGGCCATCACCATCGAGAACGACGAGACGTGTAGCTAGCCTGGCTCAGCAGTTGAAGTTCTCAAGTGACGTATCTGTGTCGAGTTTGGGAGATGAACATGGACATACCATGACACACCAGCTATTTTGAGATGAGCCAGGGTTTTGATCCATCGCCAAGTCAAGGTACAATCTGTCTGCAAAGTGTTGGAAGTAACCGCACGATTGTTTCACTGAAAAACAGTTTTGTTTCTTTGGTGGCGGGTTTTGGAAGCCTCAGGTGGCTTGAGCAACTATGAGTACACTGTCAACTACTGCTCCGATCAGGACGGATGCCGCTCAGTGTCCCCGAACCAAAATCGCTGGGGTGTTTTGGTTTGTAAAGACTTCAGGATGCTAATATCATCTATATAATATCCTAGAAGCCGGAAAAACTCATCGCACAGTAGCAGCAAATGCAGCATAATGTGCTGCCGTTTGTGCTAATGCGGTAATGGCTCGCTGTTCCCAGTTCGTCGCCAAAACAAAGCGGCGGGTGATCGCTGGGGTGGTGCACATGATGCACCGCATTTGGTGGAACGGGGAGCTGGATGGCTTGGGAGCCTGAGATTGTTGCGTGTCTGAATTTGATTTCAGACAGAATTACGATATATGGATGTTACTATTCTCTGCGCGGGTTTGTTCCTTCCACCGAATTAGCATTTTAAAGAAGAGTGTTTCCAACCATGGGAACAATTACATACAATTACCGTATTACCGTCGTGAAAAGAACATAGCATCAACAAGACAAAGAGAAAGCGGAAAAAACGAGGGAAAAATCAACCACACCTAAAAGATCCTAAAAGAGAGAACCACAATGAAAAGTCAGAACTAGAAAACCAAATAAAACAGTACGGCAGACAAAGAAAAAAAAACACGGACCTGGAAGGAGTCAAGCCTTCAGAATTTGTGCGTCAAGTCAGCCTGCCCTCAAAGACGACGTCACACCCATTGGGCAAAGGTCCTTGCGGTTTACAGGAAAAACATGCAATGCTGCTGATGTGGCTGTGATATTTTGCCTTGCACAATGATCATTGTGTACGCAGCCAACCGCTCATTCTCTGCGGCTTGTGCCGTTTAACCTATACTGCCTATACCGGCCTCGCCTATACCATTTCCCGGCGAGGACAAGTTGATCATTGACATCATCAAGCCATACGGCGTGAAGGCACCTGACGGATCAGCGTGGACTCGTGGACTGATTCTTGTTGCATCCTGGGCAGACCATTCTTGGACAGGCTGTATGACCTGCATGGGTCAGACCAGATCTTGTGAAGTGACCAATTTTGTTCCATTGCAAGGGCCAGAAAAAGTGAACAGTTCAGGCACTCCCATCCAATAATTGTGTATATTGTGTGGGGTCCAGATGCCAGAAAAGCCCAGCTGGGTTCTGAAAGGAGTTTGACCATGTTTGACCTGTTGTCTACATTTCTCAACCATTGCTGATGAGATGAGGGGGAGGCTTCCAACCTTGCTGTCAGGTGGTGCTGCCAGCCACGGAATGCCCTGACAATGGCGAAGTGTAAAGAGTGTAAAGAGTCGCCACGACTCCTCGGCTAATGGCCTGGTTTCAGAGGCAAACAAGTTGGGCCGGCCCTTGAAATTGTGGATGTGAAACAATTCGACTGGATACACGGATAAATCCCGGATAAACCAACTAAAATCAGAATGGAAGAGAGCAAGCCTGCTCGATATTTTTGGGTCGGCCCACAGTAGCAGTACTTGCGTTGTCTTTCTATACAATTTGGTCTTGCACGAATGTCACCTTTTGCACGCAGGCTGATACGCTTGCATGGATCTGCACGCGGAAGCGGGATCATTACAATTCAAACTTCGATGCTGTATTTTGAGGTCAAAAGCAACCAAAAGACAGTTGTGTCGACCAGCCTCCAGGCATGAACGCAAAACCGGCCACGGGTTCAGTTTCAGTGATTATCAATGCACCCTTTAGACCGGTGCTGAGACATTGTGACTGCATCTATTTAGAGATACGATAAGATACGATGACATGCCGAGATACCGATCTCTCCATCCCGGCCCAAGTGCATCGGTGCATCTCAACCTGTCCCTTTGGGCCTTTGGGCATGGCGTATGGCGTGGCGTCCCACTGCCTTTTGGCGGCTGAGGCGGCTGGAGGCCTTTGCCGGCTGGCGCCATGGTAGTAACTGGAGGCGCTGTTCAGCATGAAACATAGATACGGTACGAAGGAGGAGCACAAATCCAACACTCAATTTGGATCAATTTGGTATTCTTTCATTTCTCGTGGCCCAGCATTGATAGTTTTCTTTTTCCTATTGAATCCTATTGGTTCGTTTGGTAATCCCCTTAGCCTCAGTGGCCCCAAAAGGTCGCTGCTCGGAAGCAAGCCTCGGCAGAAGCAGCGAGATTTGCAGCAGCGTTTACGCGATGCGAAGGGTGACCAGGTGCAAGTGACTTGTGGAGACAACCATCTTCCAATTTGCTGTTGAAGTCTGTCATTTGCTGCTGGGGTTGAAGTCAGTCCTCAAGGTATTCACATCTGCCTCAACAGCACCACTGACTAGGTGCTGCAGCTGTTTCAGCGGGAGGGCAGTTTTTTCGACACCATACATTTGCTGACTGCGCTGCGTGCTGTGGTGCTGCTCGGCTTTTGTGCGGACCAGCTCAGCATTCGCAGGTCCATATTTTTGCTGGGTAAAAAGCGTGGACATGAACTGCACACAAAAAGTGCCGCATACCCAGCAAAAAGTATAACTTCTGATTCATCAAAGGGCAGCCAAGTCAGCAGATCATTTCAACATTTCCCAAGCTCCGTGCTTCCCAGGTTGTCGCCTCCGTCGAGTGGATCTTTGGGCCCCTTGCTGAAGAGAGTCACTTGACGGCACAGGTAAGAGTGCTGTGGGGCAGAATCCTCCCTTTTCGGTTGCTGCAGTACTTCGTAGATAGAACTTGCTGTTTTTTTTGTTTTCAACTTGCCTTCACCAAAGTTTACCAGAAGTTCCTGGTTGCAGCGCGCCCTACCAGTGATGCCCAGGCAGCAGCCATCGCACCGGAGTTGACTGGTAATGACTTGGCGGCTCTGGCGTGGTCCCTGGCACGTCTGGAGGTGAAACTAGAGGACAGAAGTAGCTGGCTAGATCTGGCTAGATGTTTTTTTGTTTCTATTAGGCACTATTAGGGATGATTTCCTTGTGTTCGAAACGTGTGTGCTATACAGATTTAACACTAGCATGGGCTTGCTACGAGGATATGGCATTTACATGGAGAGAAACACATGCATTACTTACTGCTTGACATTTCAATCTTTCAATATGGGAATGAGCAACCTGAATATCTGACTATATCATGGTTGATCAACCTGACCACTAGAGGCTGCACCCATAAGGGATGATCATCACCTATTTATTTATTTTATTTAGGATTTTAGTATCCTAAACAGATCAACAAAGAAATGCATCCTATACAAGTGACGTATATGTATAAGTGTATGAGTAACTGACAAAATTGGCAGACGACAAAAGTGGTGGGGAGTGGACATGGGATGTTTAAATTTGTGCGAAAACATTCACAACCGATAGGGGACCACCCGCTTACCGATACCCTATTCTTGTACATAGCATGGAAGTACAAGCCTTCACAAACGATAGGAGACCACCCACTTTGGCCATGTCAATTGCGGGTAGTAAGTAATTTTGTCCGCCATTCATATGTGTGTTTATATATATATACATATGTATATACTGTAAATATACATATATATATCTATTACACATACAGACACACACCCACACATTTATAAAATCGATTCAATCACTCTTTTTGTTACGTGTTGGTACGGCTTTGAAGCCCAGATTTTTCCCTGAAGGACCAGGCGGCTTTTGCCACCGCCGCCCATGCGCTCAGCGCTGCCACGACTGGCTGCGGGACTTTGAAGTCCGCGGAGCTGTCGGTGGTGGCCTGGGCCATGGCAAAGCTCCCCCAGGTGCGGTGGAATGATTTCGGGGTACCCCCCATTTTAGGAAACCTCCATATAGCCATGATAAGGATTCCCACTATGGGATGGATGACCATCAAGCATATACCATGTCTTGACCCTAGACATATTAAGAGAATTGAGAGAGAGAGAGAGAGAGAGAGAACAAGATTACACAACTGAAGTGCTTGGTACTGAATGTACTGAACGTCTGAGTTGCTGAAATTAAGCAAACTGGCATCCTGCAGTACTTAATTGTAAGCAATAGTTTGGTTACTTTGAAACGTCAAATAGTCGTTATTCAATGACCTTTTGTAGTATGACTATTTGCATACAACCATCTTTTGGACCACCTGTGCTTGAGTGGTGATTTTGGCTGCACCACTGTATTCGGTTCAATTTCTTTGGAGGGACCAAGCTCGGTAGATATCCATGGGAGTTGGAAGAAGTGTGTGTGGGTTGGCCTCTTGAGAGTTTGTGTTGAGAGAACTTTCTTAAAACTTTCCTATATAATGGGAGGGTGTCAAATGGTTGGAATCTCAATGCCACCATTCTTCCAACGCCAGGAGCCCTCAGAGGATGCCATTCAGCATGTCCTTCAGGAGGTCAAAGCTCGTGTGGATCAGCTGACGGGGAAAGAGACGGTGAATTTGGTTTGGGCTTTCTCCAAGATGCAGGCAGGGGCTGTGGGGTGCCTGGGGTTTGTATGGATAGTAACATGGCTAGTGGCATGGCTCGAAGCTTTCAACCTGCACAAACATAAAGGACTCTGAAGGACTGAATGTGGATGGCCATGTTGATGTGTAGGTACTTTTGTTCGAAATTAGGTTTCTTTGAAGGAATTGAGGGATTGGGAGAACCTGAGGATACTTCTGGTTGCCTGCAAGTCATGACAAGCTCAGCCTTTTTTGACAAAAGCTGCCAGAAGGTGAGGGATGTGAATCTGATCCAGCAGATGGCAAAGCGCGCAGTCAAAGATTTCTCCACACTGAACAGGCCAAGGGACTGTTGGTTGTTTCAAATGTTTCAAGGAAACAATTAGCCGAAGGTTTCCAAGTCTGAGGCTGCGTTTGTCTCACCATTCTTCTTCTAGTTTCAAATTTCAAATCTAGGAATGATGAGGGCTGGCGGAACAGAGTTGTTTTGGACTGGTGAGCACAGCTCTTTTGTGTGCTCGGAGCGATAAGCAATCCCTACTGATGACTGGAATTTTGCGGTCTGGATCCTCCAACTCCAAGTGCCAGGCAGGACACTGGGAATGCGGCTTGGGCCTTTGCCAAGGCCTGAAAAGGGCTGGAGATGGGGCAGCCAGTTGAAAAGTGGTGAACTGATTCATAGCAGCCATAGCAGAGCTTATAGTTCTGGTGATAACTGGGATTGATGCTTAGCAACTGCAGAATGAATGCCCATGAAAAATCATATCATGTTAGTTACTCAACAACTGGGCGGAGAAAGGTGAGCTGGGGAGTACAACAATAAGTGCGGCATTATATATAGAGATATATAAGATCAAACAAGCAACACATGCATTCAAACAGGTCAAGACATAGATGGCTGTTTTGGCCACATTTTTCGGATGTGAATTGCACCAGGGCTAGAGATTGTGACCCACAACTGGGCTGGTCTTTGTGGGTGGATCTTCTGGGCTTTTGGCAGAAGAATATGTTGATATCCAGTCCACAGTATCCTTTTGTGCAACGTATCTAAGCTTAGTATATCTTAGTCATGTTTATTAAGTTGAATTTTATAGACTTCTCTACCATCCACAGCTTGGCTTTGGTCGGTCATGATGTTTCGTAGCCAACATGGATGTTGTGGACACTGTACGACCTAAACCACGAGCCCACCGCGGGTGCCTTTGCGGGTTGCAGCTCTTTGACAAGACCGAAGCTGCCATCCAACAAATGTCGCAGATCGGACACAACTCGAAAGGGTAAAGTGAAAGATGGACGGATGAAAATGCCGGAAAATGCTGGGGATGGGGAGGAAGTAGGTACATTTGGATATCGGATAGCCTAAAGTTGGACGGCTTGCTTTACCAAAGCTGGCCACCCTCAGGTTGTTTCAGGGGTATATCAACTTTGAGCATCAGTGAGACCAACAGAACTGCTGACGCATGATTCCAGGTCCATTCGTTGAGGATTGGCCAGCGGAAGTTTTGGGGATGGTAGCTGTATGCAAGGGTCCTATTGACTGCATGTTTTATCTTACATCATCAGTGGATTGTTTGTCGGGTGATATCCACAATCTGCCCAAAAGTTGGGTGACTTTTCAATTTCAATTTCAATGATCCTTTCACCACCCCTGAAATTTGGAAATAAATCTGCACTGCTTTTGATAGGGTCCGTTCTTGCATTCCTTACATTACATTCCGTACAAGAATCGATTGGCCAGTTTTACCAATATCCAATAGTCATGGTGAAACACCACATTCAAACATCACACCAAAGATTACACCAAACTATCAGAAAATTCATCTCCCTAAGCCATCAGAAGCTGTTCAAAGCCTGGGTTCAGCCCTGCCAGGCAGATGTCTCCTGCGAAACCTTAATGAGCCGCATCAGGGAGAAGTTCCTCAGTGAGAGTGATGCTTTCGATGCGCAGGCCAGCCACTTTCGGATCATGAGAAAAAAAACAGAAACATCAGTACTTGACACATTAGTAAGCCCTATGTAAGGGAATCTCACACCCAAGAATTGTACTCTTTGGCACAGTGCCTCCATTTTTTCAGGCGCCTGAATGTCCCATTCGGCAAGACAACTTACATCACACAGCTACAGCAGTCGCTGCAGGAGTTCGCAAGCATCATTTGGGCTTTCGCCTGGTTGGATGCAGCTGACGAGGCGAGCAGCGGCGAGCATCCACCCAACTCGGGTGCGATTGCCTGCAACTCTTGGGAAACGTGAAACAGAGGATGGTTCGGGACTAAGCTTAACATGTTTCCGCGGTTGGTTTCAGGCTACAAACGTCTCATCCAATTCCACCTTCTCATTTTTGTTGCCCCTTTGCGTTCCAAACTTGCGTCACTTAATATCTCCAAATTTTATGGGTAAATCTCATGAATACCCACCCATCTCATCCCAAATCCATGGGCCCATGGCTTCCGAAGGTCCTGCTGCGGCGCTTCCGTGGCACGGCCCTGAAAGTCGCAGGGCAGTTGAACTGTGGGGGCTTGGCACGGGTCAGCTGGGCCTTTGCCTCGATGGCCGAAGCACAAGGTGGGGGTATGCCAGGGTGAAGGTCCCAGGGGACATTCATCCATGGTTATAAAATAAATCGGAGAAATGGGGAGTATAACTACAGTATTAGATCTAGCTCCAAATGAAGAAACATGAACAAATGTATCTACTTCATAGTTCCCAACTGAAGAGACACTTCCGTTTCAATCTCTGGACTTGGGAGTGGTGCGTTGTTTTTTTTTGCCGAGCCCAAAAACCGGAACGGAACCGCAGCGCTGGAACCGTGGAACGGTGGAACCTTGGAACCTGCTGTTGGGGTGCAAAGCTGGGTTTATGATAGGTAGTGATAGGGTATATATACATGACAGTGGGATGGATCAAAGTTACTACCGCCCAAAATGGATGATAGGATGCTAACAATGAGCACTGTTGTGGGTCCATTTGTGCCCCGTTTTGGAGCCATCGCGATAGAGTCGCCCGGAAATTGGCAGCCAGAAGCGTTGAAGACCATTGTTTGGAAGTCCTCCAACTGGGTTACCCTCTTGCATGCTTACAGTACTACGAGCTGGCAAAGTGGGATCGGGTTTAATTTGTCGCTAAACCGGGGTTTCCACACATCAGATTCCACCACACTTCTATGTTTCTCAAAGATTATGAAAGCAGCCAGTTGTGAGTATGCTGAGATGCTGCCCAAACATTGGTGGCGGATCGGTCTAGATTTCAAACATCGCAAGTTTTACTCACCAATTCAGTATGAACCCTCCAATTTTAGGGACATCCAAGAACTTGGCCGGTACCCCAAACGCTTCAAGGCCCACTGTTTGGACAGCTGAAGAGTTCCGCGCGTCGCCTCGGCCTTGGGTCCTTTGGGAGCACCGAGCTGTCAAAGATAACCTGGGCCTTTGCCAAAGCGGAGCCTCGGATTTGGGAAAATCCAACGGTTGAGCTACTCAGCAAATCCGGGATAATCCTCATCCCAACTCATTCCAAACTTGCAATTGTTTTTGTATCCTCCATTTTTGGAAGACTCATTGATCAAAAGACATTGGCTGCAGAAGTGATAAGTCCATGTTTCAGGCCCATTTGTGGATGGAGGTTTTTGTGTATTCCGCAGTGCCAGTGCATGAGCCATTGACTTAGACTTTGTTCTGTAAAACATACCAGGCAACCCAAGTGCTGCAATGAATAGGGACCCTTTCAGCGACCGGAGCAGCATTTCCCAGGAGGAAATTGAAGCGGGCGAACCTTTGATGCTGGACATTGCTCGACAGGTGCCACACTGCACGCGGCTGCAGACGTGTTGCGTTCTGATAGGAATGGAAATCCTTGGAACCTTTGGGAAAAAAGTAACTCAACAGATCTCAACAGGGTCATTTTACTGTTAGATACTGTTAATAGGTAAAGTATATACAGACTACCAGCAACTCTAAAATGCAGGACCCAAATCATCACTGCTTCACTTGGCAGGTGGAGGAGCGGATGGCTACGCTAAATGCGCGGGATGTCGACATGATGGCCTGGGCATTCGCGAAGGTCAATGCGGACACGGAATTAATGGCCAGGTCGCTTGGATTAACCATTTGATTGCAATGCGATGCAATGCGATAGCGCAGATTTCTTGCCACTTCCAAGTCTTCCAATAGAGTTGGATGTAGCGACGGTTCTCCAAGATTGTCACTGTTTGTAGCCCCTGCAGCACAGAGTGAGCTCTTTGGTCAAATCCAACAAGTTGTGGATTGGATACATATTGGAGTTTCCCAAAATGCTGGTTCCCCCAAATGGATGGTTTGTAGTGGAAAATCCTTTTAAAATGGATGATTTTGGGGTACCATTTATGGAAACCGTCATATCTCCATATAGCTCCAATCTGCAGCATGTTGATGAACTCTTCTCTGAGGCTGGCAAAGCAGGCAGTCTCCGGGCTTAAAACCCCTGGCCCAACGCTCCATCCGATGGCTGGTGTCATAAGTGTGTGACAGGAATGTCTGCAGGGAATCCATTGGACATGAACATATGCCATGCTTTACTTCCTTGGCCGACACTGTCCTCCGACCAAACAAACTTGGCGCATAATTTATTTGGATGTGGTAGGTCTAAAATCTTGATGCACACTGCCGCAGTTCCAGAAGAAAGTCGGGTTGTGCAAACACTCTGTTTTGGGGTTGCCCAACTTTTGGATTGCGCTCTACCAAATGCGATAATCTTCGAATCGCAACTTCATTTTGACATTCTACAAATTACACCAGCAACATGCGGCAAGATCATAGATTCGGATAGATCCAGTTCTCTCGATCCACAGTTTCAAAGCATCAGACCGTCATTCCGAGTCATTCCCCCGTCTCGACCCACAGCCATCCAAAATCATCCAAAGTTGGCCAAAAGGTGCATTTGGCGCCCCACTTGGACGCCCAGGGCTTGGCCAACTGCGCCGCCGCCTTCGCGTTGCTCCGCGTGGCGGTCTCCGGCTGGCGGCCCGTGCTGGTGCGGCGCAGCGCAGCGGCCCGGCTCTGAGGTGCCGAAAAAGGGGGGTTTTACCCAAGAAACACAGGGATTTCAGTGAGAGAAGTTGCGATTGAACCAATAAGAATGTGAATTACACCTGCAAAAACTTGGGGATTGAAGATGGAGATTTGAAACTTGGGGATTTGGGTCACTAAACAGGAGGATGTGACGGCAGAGAAAGAATCAAACAAGGCAAATAAGTATTCAACAGCAACATGTGGATGTAACCAAGCAAAGATGAAAAAACCACAAAAAACAATACATCATATCTACCCCCAAACATTGGTATTTTACAAAAGGGAATGGAAGACGAAGGGTGCTTAATCACTAAAAATCAGATATCACCAACAAAAAGACGGATTATGACGTGATGAACCCAGCAAAGAACTCTGATTGAGGATTTTTTGTAGTTCCATGTAGTTCCCATCAAATGGTAAATCCGCATCTATTCTTTATTAGTGAGTTTACAACCTTTGGTGCAAAATCAGCGGCCCTTTCTATGAATTCCAGTTAACAGTTGAGTGGCAGTTTCCGAGTGTAGAACCCAACAACAGCCTTTGGACATGACATGATATCAAGCCACCAGTCAGTCGGTTGGTTGGTTGGTCAGCCAGTCACGATCAAATTGTTGGTGAGAAGATCAGTTTACTCCTTGGTCCAAGCATCACCCGATATGGTAGATGTTTATCTATTCTGACTAAAGATGATGACCCTCCGGTCATTAGTTTCATCAGTTTCTCCTGCCCGAATCGGTCGATGATTTTCAATTACCAGTTCAGATTCACTTTTTGCTATCCACCATCCATGTCTGGGTACAAAGAACCTTACGGGATCAAGACCATTGATTTGATTGACTTCCCACCCAATTTTGAACCATACTCGAAATGAGGAAATCCATGCGGGTTTGAACATCGGGGGCCACAAGAAGCAGTGGTTTATGACCATCAAAAGGTCATTCGAATCACCTTTTTGTTGGGCACACCCCCATTTTCCGACACACATCAAATATGTCCAAATATCATGTTGCTGGTCATTTATCCCATCACATCCCCACACTATATTATACTATATTCTCATATTTGTTGATAGGAAAAATGATGATAAACCAACAGACAAACCAATGGATACCACATGTTCAGACCCGAAAACTGGATCTGTTCCGCCCAGGAGGAGATTCTTCACTTCTCCGCTCAGGCCTTGTGCGACCTCCGCTGGGCGCTCACAGTGCAGGGCTGGGTGGAGCCGACTTTGGAGAACGCCATTGCCACGGCTCCCGGATGGGCTGAACGTTCTGACTATGTGCCCGGTTGAAAGTTGGGGACTTGGGGACCATTTTTTCTGGATATTTTCTTGAGTTCCAGTATTATCTCATGAATGCTCATGATGTACCTGATATATCCTGATATGTGGATGCTATGGAAGGTGGTGTTTCTGATGCCAACACACCTTGTGCATGTTACAGCATGTTATTGTGTTGAGTTTGCTGGTCCTGATTTGCCATCTTCAGTCCTGAACGAACCCTTTCTATAGTGTTGTCTCCTACAGATTGTCACGTTGAGCTCGAGTATACATATATCATATATATATAATGCTGTTTTTACCACAGCACTCATAGGCGTTGACATGCCTATTCCGTGAAGTATTGGCTGAAAAGAGCCGCGGAGCGAGATTCATGAGGCGTTGAACACCCCTCCTTGTCCAATCGATTCCAGTGACTCTTCATATCCTACTTGAGCACTTCTACCGCTTGCACGGTAGCGGAGCCTGCCTACGGGCGGGCGTGAGACCAGGGACCTACAGCCTCCTATTGCCAGAGCCATAGGAGGAACAACATGGCGGAGAAGCAGAAAAGGATAGAGAAGACGCGAGAAGGAGTTCCCATTTGGGATGGAGATGCCGGAACATATCAGGAGTTTGAAGAGAGCGCTTTGCTGTGGGAGCAATCCATTGCAATGCACAAGCGCTACTTGTGCGGCCCGAGGCTTCTCACAGAGCTGACGGGCACTGCTCGCAGGTTCACTGTGGGCAAGCATCCCGAATGGCTCTCCTTCAATGGAGGCGTGCAGCGGCTTCTGACGTACCTGAGGTCAAACTTGGGCCTTCCACAGATGCCTGAACTGACGGATCATTTGAGCCGTTACTTCCGGCAGTCCAGGCGCAAGAAGGGGGAGACCATGAATGAGTACGTCACTAGAAAGTCAGAACTGTATGCAAGAGCTAGGCAAGGACTTCACAGGGTGATGTCTCACTATGAGAAAAAGAAGCCAGCGTGGGAGAAGAGCTACGGCGGCTATAGCCGTCCAGGGTCCACCGACCCTTGGGCCAACTACAGGAGGACACCCTCCCTGGCTGGCAGTCAGAACCTGAGTGCTGAGGAGATTCAGGATGATCGGGAAGCGCTTGCTCGACCTGATGATCAAGCTGAGGCCACCGAGGATGCAACTGAGGAGCGAAGCTCCACTGGTCCAGGTCCTTCAGGAGACTCCTGGAGTTATCCGGACTGGTGGTCAAATGACTGGTGGAGTACCTCTTGGACACCTTCCGAGAATGCCGACTGGAATGTGGAAGCCCCTGAACTACTACCAGAGTATGTTCAGGGCTGGTACCTCCTGTTTGATTCTGGCCTGGACACCAACGAGCGCAACATGATCGTGGCAGCCCTGAAGGGCGACTTCACTATGACCCGAGTGGCACAGGAGCTACGCAGCCAGTGGACTGATGAGGACCTGCGTCGTCGAGATGCAGCTAATCGTCACTCCAGCTGGTGGGTGGATGAGAATGAAGAGGCCGAGTCTGAGGACTATGACACTGCCTGGGTTGCCCAGGCTCACCGCAACTTCAATGACGAGGGCCTCGCACTCCTGGGTGAAGCTGAAGATGTGGCTCAAGAAGCCCTAGCCATGATGGAGCGCGGGCGTCGCACCTTGAAAGAGGCCAGACAGAAACAACATCAGGTGAGGATGTCCCGGAAGTACTACCGCACCAACTTCAAGCCCTCTGGAAGCACTTCGGCTGTAGCTTCTGGCACAGATCAAAAGTGCTTCCGATGTGGTGGTCCTCACAAGACTTCATCATGTCCAAAGGCAATGGCAACAACGACAGCCTCTTCAGCCGAAGAGCAGGCTGCACCTTTCATCTGTATTGCACAAGACCAGATCACCAAGGACCATGAGATTGTGGAGCCCTATGTCCCGGACGACCACGAGGTGAACTACCTGGATGCTGGGTTCTCCGATGCTTGCCCAGAGGCCTTCTTTGATGTTGCCGACACCAACAGCATAGGGCCTATCTCCACTCAGATGGCCGTCGAACAAGGCAAGGCTGTCGTTGATGGAGGGGCTACAAAGACCCTTGGCAGCGTGGTGGCCCTCGAGAAGATCATTGCCCTCAACAAGTACAAGCATGGGACTTCTCGTTTGGCCGACCTTGACTTGGAGAACAAGCCTACGTTTGGTTTTGGAAATTCATCAAAGAACCAGTGCGTGTCCACAGCCTCACTCGAGGTTCAAGCTGATGGCAAACCTGGACAAGTACAAGTACATGCGTTGGATGCGGGAGCAGGACCTGTGCTGTTCTCCATTGAGTCCTTACGGGCCTTGGGAGCAATCATCGACTTCTCTGAGGACATGGTCGTCTTCCGCAAGATCAACCCGTCCAAGATCATCAAGATGGAACGTTCGGCCACTGGCCATCAGCTGCTGCCCATGACTCAGGATTGGTACAGTGATGCTCAGAGCACTGCACAGCCAGTGCCGAGCCTGAATGCTTTCCTGTAGGGACAACTCCTTTCTTTCCGTGCGCCTGAGATGGAAAGGAAGGTCAGTAGCGATGTTTCAGGCACTTTTCACAACCCCTTGAACATGGTTGGTGATCCTAGCATTCATGATGATGTTGGGTGTGTTGTTCATGACCATGTGGTTGTTGATGATGAAAAACTTTCCCAGGGTTTCCATGGACATGTTGGAAAAATCTCAGACAGCAGTCAGTGTACAGAGCCAAGAACAACCTCCTCCTGCAGCTCTCCAGCACAAGCTAGACGAGATCCCCAACGAGTCAGTGAACAAGAGCCATGCCTCGTGCCACCAGAAAGGAATTGGTGGAAGAGCTCCTGATGACCTTTGGCGAAACAGCTCCAAAACAGTGGAGCATCATGGAGATCGAGAGTCGCCTTTTGGAACTCAAGGAAGCCAACGGGATGGTCACTCAGAAAGGGAAGGTACGGCCACCGATGCGCCATGCCATGATCGAACTGAACAAGGCCAGCAAGAAGAAGTCCGACCTTGTGGACTACGTGAACAACAAGCTCATGGTGAAGACCCGCGGCACCGAGACCATTCAGGAGCTGCAGCGCTTGGGCACCAAGAAGATCTACCAGACCACAGCCGCCTCTCCGGAGGACCCTGTGGGGTTCGGGGAACACTGCAGTCTGCAGTACCACGAGCTTCTAGCCCAACACCCACAGTATGCCAGCTGGGTCGTGAAGACCGCCACCGAGGGGGAATGCGACTACCGCCTGGCCCGTCTGGCCAATTGGCTCCAGAGCCCAGAGGCACAGCATCCGATGCCGACCTACAAGCAGACCTCCAGCGGCTACAAGAACACATCGACGCCGGCCAGCGGCTCGAATGGCAAGACCGAGAACATGATGATGCAGATGATGCAGATGATGCACGCCCTCAAGGAGGACGTGGACAATCTGAAAGCCGAGAGGCCTCACAAGAAGGTCGAAGCATCCAGTGTCTCCGAGATGACAGAGTCATCCCCAGGCTCTTTTGTGCCGATCCCACAGTAGCTTCAGCTGGGAGTGTAGAAAACTTTAATTTGTCACAGGCGGGAATGCAGGTCGACAGTGAGCTCTGGAGGGGCTCATGGGAAGCCTTACCTGAGCAAAAAGTAAGACACTTGTCCCATTGCAGTGACAGATTGATTTCGAATGCCTTTGAGGCCCTGCTATCACACCAGCGCATAGAGCTGCTGGAAGTGGCATGTTCGGCCGACAGCGTGCTGTCTCGCACCATGCAACAAAAAAAAGGTGACGAGGGTGCGGCCCGACGCTGCTCACTTTTCAATGAGTATGATTTAGGAACCAACCAGGGGATTCACAAAGTCATTCAAGATATTGACCATTATAAACCAAAACATGTTTGGCTTTCTCCGGTTTGTGGACCTTTTTCAGTGATGCAAAACATCAATCAGAGAAGTGAAGCTCAGAAGGAGGCCCTTTCTGAGAAGCGCAAAGCTGCCATGAAACAGTATGTCGGTTGCAGTGTCATATATACGTACTGTATTCAGCATGGTATACATGTCACTTGGGAATGGTCACAATCATGTCAGGCATGGAGGCTTCCAATGATGCAGGAACTGGTGAAGAAACACAATCCATGGTTTGCTGTGGTACGGGGTTGTCGTGTTGGTCTTGTTGATGATGAGAAAAACCCAATTTCGAAAGGCTGGAAACTCATGACCACTCATGCTTTGTTGGCAAAAAGGATGAACATGCCATGTAGCTGTGGGCCTCACCAGAAACATGTGAAGTGCGAGGGTTCCCTTACCAACAAAACTGCCTATTACACCCCCGAATTTGCCCGAAGGGTCTGTGATGCGTTGATTCATGGAGCGGAAGATGAAGACCTCAAAAGGGAGTTTGTGGGAGACCACCAAATTGGGGAAACTTTTGGTAATGGGATCAGTTGCATTTGTCACCACATTCATGATTCTCAACATGGTTTTGTTTGCGGTTCATGTGTTCATGATGAGCATGAAAGAATCAAGGGAACCAATCATGTGACGTGTGACAGTAAGGGGAACCACGAAGTTCTGGTTGGGGAAGATAACCAACAAAGGGGTCAGGGTCTGACTATTGAAGAAATAAGAAAACGACTGTACCTCTTACATGCTGCCACTGGCCATGGGCCAACCAGACACCTGGTGCAAGCCCTGCGACGCAGGGGAGTGTCAGAGGATGTGCTCAGGGAAGCCGAACGTTTTGAGTGTTCAGTTTGTAAGGAACGGGGTAGACCGAAGCCACGGCCTTTAGCCACCTTGGAGCCTCACCCCCCAAAATGGGCGTCTGTGTCAGGGGATATTGGGCACTGGGAACACCCACAAACTAAGGAGTCCTATCAATTTTTGATGTTCGTTGATGAGGGATGCCGTTTTCGTGTTGGAAAAATTGTTCTTACGGGGAAAAGAAGTCACCTTACTGCCAATCAGTTTGTTGAAACGTTTGGGGAACATTGGGTTCAGTATTTTGGTTTTCCTAATCAACTCAGGGTTGATCCGGATGGTAGCTTCAGGAGTCATGTGGTTCAAGAATACTGTGATAGGCACCAAATAATGTTGGACATTATTCCGGGTGAAGCTCACTGGAAGGTGGGCATTTGTGAACAGGCTATTCAGGGTACCAAGACTCTCATGAACAAAATAGCTGAAGATGACCCAGAAGTCACCGCAGCAGAAGCTTTGGCTGAAGCCACTAGGACCTTTAATAGCCGAGAACTGATCCGAGGCTATTCGCCCATCCAACATGCCCTTGGCCGTGCGCCTGATGCCACCGGGCGACTTTTCCCTTGCGGCCCCAGTGAATGTCCAGAGCTGCTGGTAGAGAACGCCTCTGGCGAGATGGATCGCCAGCTCCAGCGAATGCAAAGTGCGGAAAAGGCCTTCCTTGAATGGACGGCAAGCCAGAGACTCCAAAAAGCCAAGAACTCAAAACCCAGAGATGTCACCAACTATGAGCCAGGAGACCTAGTGTATGTGTGGAGAAAGCAAGTGAGCGGCCAAGCAGCCATTAAAGGTGGCTCGTTTGTGGGGCCAGCCCGCATCCTGGCGGTGGAGCAACATCGCTCTCCCGACGGGACCCACAAGCAGGGCAGCTCAATTTGGTGCGTCAGAGGGAGAAGACTTCTCAAGTGCTCCCCAGAGCAACTACGTCGAGCCTCCGAGCGGGAGGTCCTCTTAGAAGAACTACATGCCAAACAATACGATGACTGGGACTTTGATAGAGTAGCTCAGCAACTTGGAGGGAACGAGTTTCTGGATGTGTCCACCGAAGTACCCTCTTATGCAGAATGGCTACGAGCTCAAGATCCAGTCCAAGAATGGCAACCAATGAGAAGATGTGCAAGAAAACGAGGCCCCATGGTAGATGAGATGAGTGGCATAGGACCGGCTCCTCCAACATCGAGGCCAACAGGGCGATCCAGGAGTCCAACTTCCAGGCCTACGCCTTCTACATCTTCAGGAGCACCCGTGTCACAGAGGCCTCGAATGAGTGCCCAACAAGGCATGGCTGCTGCCCCACCATGGTGGAACCAGTCAAGTATCCAGGAAGTGTTTGCAGTCACCGAGTGCACCTTCTGGATGGATGAGACCGCGGCCGTGGCCGTGGAGGTTCCCATGCCAGACACACGTGCTGGATCTGAACGAGCTCTTCGAGATCTCCCTTCTTACTTTGCCAGTAGCTTGAAGAAACGGTCAGCAGTTGAAGTCTGTGAGCGTCACCTATCTGAGGAAGAGCGACAACAGTTCCGATCTGCAAAGGCCGTGGAAGTGAGTAACTTCATAGCTGCCAAGGCTTTTGAAGCCCTTCCAGAGAAACTTCGCCCAGCACGCGAACAAGCAGTGAAGATGCGTTGGATTCTGACATGGAAGCAGAAGGAGGATGGCAGCCGAAAGGCGAAAGCCAGAGCCGTTCTTTTAGGATACCAAGATCCCTGCTATGAACAGAGAGCAACGACTTCTCCAACCACGACTCGCCAGACCAGGCAACTGCAGATGCAATTAGCCGCTTCATATCGCCACAAGATGCGAAAAGGTGATGTGACAGGTGCTTTCCTGCAAAGCAGGCCATACCCTGATGACCTTTTTTGTATACCATGCCCAGAGATCTGTGAAAAGATGGGACTCCCAGCAGAGTCAATCACCAAAGTGAAGAAAGCCTGCTATGGCTTAGTTGATGCGCCACTGGAATGGTATCGTTCCATTTCAGATTTCTTTGCAAAACTCGGATTGCAAAAATGCTGGAGTGACGCATGCTGCTGGGTTTATGTGGTTGATGGGGTTACCAAAGGGATTATTTCTGGTCATGTTGATGATTTCCTTTTTAGTGGGGATGAAACGCATGAGGGTTGGTGTACTGTTCTCAAGAGTATCCAAACGGAATATAAATGGGGAGATTGGGAAGAAAAAAGGTTTACCCAATGCGGAGTTCAAGTGGAACAACATGAAGATTTTTCTTTTTCGTTGTCACAATCGAAGTATGTTGAAGACTTGAAATATATTAACCTGAGAGCCTTTAGAAAGAAAGACCGAAATGCACCCACTGAGGAGTCTGAGAAAACACAGCTTCGGGCCTTGCTGGGAGGGGTCTCATGGCACGCACAACAAGTTGCGCCCCACTTCAGTGCTGAAGTCGGCTTGCTGTTGTCAGAGGTGAACAAGAGTACTATAGAGACCATTTACAAGGCTAACAGGTTACTTGATAAGGTCAAAGATATGAAAGAACACTGCATGAAGGTACATGCCATAGAACCACACATGTTGTCACTGTTTGCATGGGTAGATGCCGCCTCTCAGAACCGCGTAGATGGCTCAAGCACACAAGGCATTATAGTTGGAATTTCATCTCACCGGTTACGTCATGGCAGTTGTGAGCCAGTCACCTTTGTCGCCTGGCATTCGCAGAAGATTGGCAGGATCTGCCGCAGCCCCGGAGCAGCAGAAGCAGCAGCAGCAAACAACGGAGAAGATCTCCTCTTTTTTGCGAGATTCCAACTGGCAGAAATGATGGGAGCTCAAGTCAATGTGAGAGACATCAACAGTGTCGTCAACCAGATCAGTGGATGCCTGGTTACTGACTCCAGGAATGTGTACGACAAGTTAGAGACCGAGGTCTTGTCCGTGAAGGGCGCTGAGAAGAGAACAGACCTGGAGTTACTCTCCTTGAAATCTGCCCAGATTCGCAATGCTGTGGAGATTAGATGGGTTCATAGTGAAGCTCAGCTATCAAACGGGCTGACCAAGAGCAACGAGCACAAGCAACTGCACCTGTTCTACCGCATGGGCCACAAGTGGCGCATAGTCGAAGATGAAGAAAGAGCGTCAGCTCGGAAAAGGAAACTGCTAGGCCTGGAGCCTCTTGAAAACAGAAAGAGTCAAGGGCCAGAAATCGAGCCGGAGACACCATGGAAACCCACGAAATGATTTTCGTCTTGTTTGGTTTTTCTTTGTCTTGGTTTTGGTTTTGGAGAAAATGTTCAAGGGGTAGCATCACCATCTCACAAGGAGAAAGAAGATGCGGGGGGCATGCTGTTTTTACCACAGCACTCATAGGCGTTGACATGCCTATTCCGTGAAGTATTGGCTGAAAAGAGCCGCGGAGCGAGATTCATGAGGCGTTGAACACCCCTCCTTGTCCAATCGATTCCAGTGACTCTTCATATCCTACTTGAGCACTTCTACCGCTTGCATATAATATACAAATAATATGTATATAAAAAATATACATACATGTTATATGAGGAACCTCATTCTTTTTGGCTCTGTTCGTCTCACTTCCTTCTTGAAAAGGATTGAGATTTGAGCCGCAGAGTTAACGCTTTGTTTCTCGTCCCCGGTCCCTGGTCCAAAAGAACTTTGAAACTCAAGTGACCGTTTACAACGGCAACGAAAGATCATGTGCACCACGGGTAAGGAGGCATTGACAATGGTACAACCACACCTGCAAAGCTAAGAAAATAGAATGCAAAACGCGACGAAACACCGTCCAAGATATAGAACCACAAATAGTGATGCGCTACAGTACCTCACAGACAGTGATTGGCTCGAGTGGCGTTCTCTCGTTAATTATGTTTTTGTGCATCCTTGCATTGTATTTGTTCATGGTTCGTTGGAAGCGTAGACCAAACAGTTTGCTGCAGAAACCCAAATGTTGATGAAGTAAGTGCTGCAGTGAAAGAAGCTTTTTCAATTCTGATTGGACATTGGGTCCAACCAGGTACATGAGACACAGGCGGGCGCAGTGGCAGACTGCTTCAAGCACTTGGTTTTGGTGGCACTTCTTCAAAATCTGCAGGTGGGGCTGGTGGGACTGGCAAATCTTTTGGTGCTGACTTCACTTTCCTCCCAACCAGGATGCGTGCTTGGGCAATGCGAACCATGGCGATGATAGTAGTATCTTCTATGTGGACACTCATGCTGGTGCTGGACTGTATGAAGTGAAGGCGCTGCATGATCCCAATTCGTGGGGAAAAGAGGCATCACACAATGCTGTGGGATTTGTACTGTAGATGCTGTTGTGCCTTCATTTAGTTATTTAGTTTTGCTTTATCCCAAGCTTGTATTGTTGATTTGAGGGGCAGTTCACGATGAAGAATATGATGTTCAATTCGCCAGTGGATTCTTACCTTTTTTTTAAAACACCTTCCCAGTTACCAGCGGCGTTGTTTTTTTCAGGAGCCTCACAGGGAGAACCTCCGGCGGCTTCTCAGTGGCTCACATGGGTTGGAGAAACTTGGCATTGCCGATCCACCAGTAGCGTTGACAGGTCGATCTGGTCCACTTTGTAGGCTTCATGGTGGCCCATCTTTGGGAAAGATCACTGGCTCAATGTGATGCTAGATGCTGTGGAACAAGCTGTTTTGCTGTAGGAGGAATATGCTAGTCGCTAGTCTGTGTCATTATGGCTTATTGGATTTCAGGATGCCAGCGTCTCTCCATGCCTACATCGATTGCCTCAACCGATTTGAAGGACGATGGCAGTGTGATCCCAGCATGGAAGGTCATTTGTGATTCAAGCATTTTGAACAGCGGCAACTTGACCCTATTTGCATAGTTGATATATGATAAGGTTATACATACGTATCACATACACATACACACGTATATATATATATAAATCTATACACATAAACGGACTTTTGACTTAGAACAAAATTTGGAAACCTATTTCCAAAATCGGCTACCAAGCGCAAAATACTTAGAACACCTGAGATTGGTACTTCGAACAGGATGAACAAGGGGTACTTGGAACTGATTTCAATAATTTTTCATATATACACACATACGTGTGTGTTTGTGTGTGTGTGAACCAGCTAGGAGTCATGCGGGTAAGAGTAATTAAAAACTGGTTGAATTTCTGTCATCAACAAGCAGGGGGCCAGTGCATGACATCACGACACTGGCCAACGAAGCTAGTGATGTCATGGGAAGCGGTTGGAGACGTCTAACCGGGTACCTGCAAAAAAAAGTGAAATTTCAAGCTGTTGCAATCAGGCTGTTGCAGGTCTATAGGTGTCTACAAGTCAATGTTACAACTTGTGATCATCAGGACGACTTCTTAGGAAACATCAAGGCAAAGACGATGCCAGCATAGCAACGATCCCTTTTATAGAGTAATTTGTTTACTCTATCAACAGTGTGTTCTGGGCACAGTCTCACTGACTTGTGTGTGTGCCGTTTGTACGCTTTGTGGCGTGCATTGAATCGGAGCCGGCCTTCCGGTCAGAGTGGGGTTCGGCAATACACTGGAATTTCACGGGACTTGGCGCCCGTGGGAATTTGGCTTCAAGCAGGAATTTACAAATCCTGTTGCGTAGGGCCGGAAATCAATAATGAAAAAAGGCTCTTGAAAACTATGTTGGTCATTGACTATTGTCGGAAGCTCCAGTTTTCAGTTGAGACAAGTTCAAGTGTTATAAATTATATATAAATTTCAACGGTTTGTAAGTTTTTACTTCGTTTTTGATCATTGGGACGGAAGCCATGTCGTCACATGCTGTTCCAGATGTTCCTTCTGCTTTTCCGAAATCGAGATGTCCTCCAAACCCGATTCCTCCATCTAGTTGGGCTACTCCAGTGAGTCAAAGACGAACTGCTAGTTTAGAAATTTCTGGACGCTTGGGACACTATCGGAGTCAGAGTTCAAATCCACGAGAAATCCAATAGATGTTGCAAATTGTACTTCAAACTGAATCTCAACATGTGTAACACATGCAACAAGTTCAAGTGCACCAGATGTTCGGACCTACAGTCAGTGGTATGGGTAGTATTTTTGGTCACATTGCTCCGCCATTAGCCTTATGGAACGCCCCACAATTGATGAGTGCAAACAGTTCGGATCGCGTCGCAGCTCGAGCCTTAGACGACTTGAATCACAAGACAATCAGGGCAGTGGGACGCCCTTAGAAGAAAGCTCTCAAGTCTCGGTTTCGAATCAAGTCAGTCAGAACCAAGCTCGATTTGGCGACCCTAGTCATCGGAACGAAATCATTGACCGAGGTCCGACCTTAGCATCAAATACTCGTGGAAGTGTCTTTGAGTCAGATGATGAGCGGCATGTTTGTACATTGTTTGACAAAGCACCAGGGTCAGAAATTGACCTTTACCAGTAACCGAAAACCAACAGGGACCCGGCCAAAGATGGTTTCCAGAATTGGTCGACATCCATGGATTGTCGAAATTGTTAAATTTCTGCAATATCAGTGTGGGCTCTTCCAACCACGGCGTTCTTTGTGTGCGATTGTCTGAAAGCAGACCGACCAGAGAAGTCAGAGTGGTAGTACCTGTATCAATGTATGGGACGCGTTCGACAAGAACGTTGTCGAGATTCACAACGTATTCAGAATGCTTTTGAAATCGGTGCTTTGGAATTGGCTGGTGACAAATGGAAACCATCTCAGACTTTGTTTCAGAAACATCCTTCGTTCAGACATATTGACCCAGTTGCTCGCTTGAAGCGACTGATCCTATGAACTTTTTCAAAACGATCTATTCGGAATTGCGGGAATCGCATTCGACAATCGTTTTTGCTGCTTTGGAAGTGTTGATTTCCACACTCCTTTTGCATTCAGAAGTCTGGGCCTTAGTTGAAGTGATCGACCTCATTATTGACGACAGTCCAAAGAAGCTTGTGGCCATTGCTGCCAAACTAAGCCCAGTGGAATTTGCACAAGAACCGACAGCTTCGATTGCGGAATACATTTGCTATGCTCACAACACTAATATGTTGTCGGCTGCAGATAGCATGTTTCATGGATATATTCGACCCTCATCAACCGATCCACAAGACTCATCATGGATACCAGCTTTGACATTTTCTGACGTGGTGTCACAGTGGCTCGACCCTTTTTGACCAAAACAGCAATGACAATTGTTTTGATGAAACAGGCTCAGAAATACGCAAACTATACAGCTGATCGACCAACATGCCTTTTGGGCATTTCTGTCACGACAAACGCATGTCGCCAATATTGCTGGAGGAGTGATTGGGGAACATGCTTGTACTCACTATTTTGACAGCATTCATGGTCGAGACAAACGCTGGGGACTTCGTTCGCATTTGAGTCCACTGACTCATGTAGCCTGTCTAATGCCATCGGGATAGAGAGTTGTAAATGAGGGTGGGCCATTTCACAAGACACAACCACATGTGCATGGGAGGTTAAAAACACCCTAGCAGAATTTTGCATAATGTTATCAAATGCTCTCTCTGCTTCCTTTTAGATCTGATGCTTACTTTCTGCTTTTGACGATCGTTCTTTACTGTGCAATATGTGATGCTTTTGTTGGTGCATGGTTGTTGACAGACTTGACTGAACCGCATTGCAACCTTTCTGACGAGTGCTTGTCATACATATCAGTATCTAAAATGCCATGCGATATTTGTCAGTGGATCAAATCAGTGGATCAAATCAAGAGTTCTACTGTATCACTTCGCGAGCAGTTGTGATGAGATGTCGTCGTTGTGACTCTCGTTCAAGATCCAGAAGGCCCAGTCGTGGACGTCATCAACATTGCTCCAAGGACCGCCAACGCCGTCCACAACCAAATTCTAGACGTCGAGACTCAGGAAGGTCAAGATCATCAGTTTTGAAATTTACTACAAAATAAAAGAACGATTTCCGAAAGTGGTTCGCGTTTTTCATCCATAGACTGATGTTTCAGAAATCTTTTGATATTTGCCGCGCCGTGATGCAGAGTGAAAACAGGTGAGAACAGAGAGTTACTCTAAGTGGTTTCTTCTTCAGATGCCATCGTGTGTTCTCGGATGTGTGCAGTGCATGACCTCACATGATGACACAAACGAAACAAACCAACCTCAATATCGTGTAAAATAAGATGTTAAACTTCAGACTGCCACTTTCGTGGTTATTTTGCGTGTGATCGCTGAGTGCATTTTCTCTATTAGTGCTTAAACAAATCAACCTCGTTCATTCTTTTCAAGTATGTTTTGACTGAGGGAGCTGGCTCACAATTTGGAACGTATTCCCTGGTACGTCAGAGACCATCAGAACATTGTATCAGTCGGGCCCTATGACATCAGAGTATGGATCAGCTCGAACAAGACCCATTTCTCATCTGTCGGCCGACCCCAACAATGTGCAATTTGAACATTGGTTGGAACGATGGAAACTGATACTGCTTTTTTTCAGTATTTGCAGTCATTCTTGTATGAACTGTGGCAAGATCGTGCTTCGAAAAGTCATGCATATTCTCAACAAAATGTTCATCATGCACGCCGATGTATTCAAGGGTTGATCACTCTCTTCAGAGTCGTGGTACCAGCATGGGACCCCAAAGTGCGTGAACACACTTTTTCTCATATTGTCGCCAATTTCGTGCAAGTCAACTTTTATAGCACCATTGACAAGAGAGTGTCAATATTTTCTGTTGATCGTTGGAATCTAGAACTACATTCTATTCACCTTCGATTCTTTCAGAAAGATTTCAAGGTACTCAACCTTTGCGATATCATGTCGATTATTAGCAGCGTATTCAGCCTGCTCAGAAGGTGTTTCCATCTGTGATCAGCACCGGCACTACGAAGGCGATTGTGCTCGACATCTTAGCTCGACTTCGCCTGAGCTTGACCAATGTTTGGCTTTTTCGTTAAAAAGTTCCCTGTTACAAGATTCTCTTGAAAGTCTTGTTTGATCAGACTATTGTTGTTCGAGTACTGAAATCAAAGAACAGCTTATTTAAGTGGCTCGAGTCTTTCATCCACAGAGTGATGCTTCAGAGACGTTTCGGTACATGCCATGTCGTGATGCAGTGTAAAAACTGACGAAAACAAAGGGTCACTCTAAGTAAATCACTTTCTTACCGGATGTCTTTCGGATGTGTCCAGGACATGACTTCACATGATGACACGCACCCAACCCAATACCGTACGATATATGTCTTGTTTCAGACTGTCGTTTTCGTTGTCTTTGCAAATGATATGGTGACGATGACAATGGATTAGTTGAGCTTCATCTTCATCAGTGCTCACACAAATCAACTCTGTTTTGCACCTGTCTTTTCAAGATGTTTTCGCTAAAGAATTGTTGGGTAGCGGGATCAGATCGAATAAACATAAACGTATTTCCTCGTATATTAGAAGATCGGAAGAGCGTTGGATCAGTCGTGACCCCTGTGACATCAGAGTCCGGATCAGTTCGCACAAGACTAGTTTCTCATTTATTCGGTCCTTTAGCAGAACATTGGATCAGCCGGGAGCCCTATGACGCCAGAACGTAGTGCCAGAGACCCAAGAACCCAAGTTATTGACACCGATCGATCATAAGAGTCGGTTCGGGCCTTTAGTCGAGATGTTCGTCGCGTGGATCTAGTGTTGTAGAGCGGAACTTTCAACCCATGTAGAGAACCCAATTAGAAAGCCAGTCGACGTCAGGTGAGGTGATAAAAATTATTTTGCATGCCCTGCGGGGCATTTGTGTGTGTGTGTGTGAACCCCGCTAGGAGTCATGCGGGTAAGAGTTAATCAAAAACTGGTTGAATTTCTGTCATCAACAAGCAGGGGGCCAGTGCATGACATCACGGCACTGGCCAACGAAGCTAGTGATGTCATGGGAAGCGGTTGGAGACGTCTAACCGTGTACCAGCAAAAAAAGTGAAATTTCAAGCTGTTGCAATCAGGCTGTTGCAGGTTTATAGGTGTCTACAAGTAAACGTTACAACTTGTGATCATCAGGACGACTTCTGCCAGCATAGCAACGATCCTTTTTATAGAGTAATTTGTTTACTCTATCAACAGTGTGTGTTTGTGAGTACCCTTGGAAGTTTCAGAAAATATCGCATTTCCATCACAGGATATCCCGGCTCCCCGGTCGTTGCGCTGGACTTCCTGGCGCGTCACCGCTCTACCCTGAGCGAGCAACGCGCCGTGCTTTTTGAGGCGGCGCGGAGCAACGTCCAACGGCTGTGCCGCCTGGCTGCCAGTTGGGCCCAGGATTGCTGTAGATATGGCTAGATGGGGAAACACAAAAAATCCCAACTCATGGTTATGAATTAATTGAGAAACATCAACTACATTGAATTACATTGAAATTACATTGGGAAACATTTAAATTTTGCCACCACTGGTTAGGGATGGTGAACGTGTGAAACGAGAGGTAGATGGATTCTTGGTCCCAAAGGGGTCTCGGAAGTCGCAGCAAACCCTGCTGTTAAACAGGGCTGAGTGAGTTTCTGCAAGGAAGCAGGACCTAAACTATTCATGTTTATCAAACCGTTCAAGAGTATGTCGCAAGACTTGCTTGTTCAGCATAGTATGATCCAGTTTTTCAACTTGCCCAAGGTGATCATGTGAAAGGTTTCAGTGGAGTGGAAGTCCTTCATGAAGATGCCTACAGGACAGCGATCGCTGCCTGGCGGCGCCATAGTGTGGTGGCTAGTGGCTTTGTTGTAGGTGAGCCCTGGTGCTCAAGTGTGAGTATTGTCTAGGAAAATACCATATACCAAGATGCCTCAACAATATCAAAACCATAGGAATTTCACGGCGGATTCCGTGAGACATCTCAAATTTGCCACCAGCTGTGCGCCGGCTGCGCTGCAGGGGTCTTCCGAAGCTCTTCACTGTTTCTCCCAGGTCAGCTGCCGAGTTTGATGCTCAATTGGGAATTCCAGTGTTCCTGGCTGCAAAACTATAATTACTGTATAGCTTACTGAAATTTCCATCTTCAAGGTGAGCTGCCTAAGGGGTGGTTGGAGTAGTTGGAGCATTTGGTCCAGCCTGAGTTTGATGGATGTCTTAGTGAGATACATAGTCGAGCTAGACAGACCTTTTAATCCGTAGTTCAAGGGGTTTGAAGGGTAGGATGTTGCTTCTACGATTCAGGGATACTATTTTGGGATGACCTGGGCGAGAGAAGAAGCCCCTGAACATTGTGTCAGTGCTTTACAGCCCATGTCTCTGTGCATTTATCATTTTATCATTTTTTTGACCCATGAAACGCATTCATTTCCTGCATTTGTCTGGGTTTGCCCAGGAGTCCGCACTTGGTTTTCATTGATCCACCCTACGATCTATGCTTTGCTGACAATCTCAACTTCACCTTGTGTGGGACCTCAGATCTGCTTCACAGATTTCGCTCTGGGGAAAAGCAAGACTCACCAGACATTGCAAGCCGAACCGGTGGAGCCAGGGTGCAGCAGATCCAACAACATTGGCCAGAAAGCTGTGTGGCCATTTGGCTCTTCTGGCTTGGTCACTTGGACTTTGATGGGAGCTTATCATCCAGTCAGAACTAGGAGGGGTGGCATCACTGGCCAGTTGTGGCATGGTTGTACACTTGGACCGCCAGGTACCCCATGCGTGATGACAATAGATCCAGGCGACTCTACCGAAGGACTGGTGGAGTTAAGAATTGATGGTTTCGGGTGGGTCAGTGACCTGATGTTTTCATCGGGTTTGACAGATTGAAGGACCAGATAGATGGACATGCTGCAAAGCAGTTCTGATGATGGCATGATCACGCGAAAGCTGGCACTTGATGTGCATCTAAGCGATAATGAAAATGGAGAATTCTATAGATTGTATCTCAATGATGTCAAAAAAAGACGAGAATCAAAGCTGAAGTCCACATGTCCATGGAATATGTGCCGAAACCATACCAGTCACCCGTGGATGTCCAGGATGTCCAGGCTTGGATCGGTGCTTGTGTGCGTTAGCCTCAGCATGCCTCAGCTTTAGGACGCTTGCAGGTGGAATTGGAATTGGAGAATTTACTGCGGAACTCCGTCGCTTCCCAGGTGAATTCGCGCTCAGTCCCAGCTCGTGCCCCAAAGCTGCAGTGAGGACCGCCCCCATTGGCGCTTGATATGCCAAGCTACAGTCAAAGAGTCGTGACTCGAAATCGGAAACATAGAGAAATTATTTAAAGGACATTTCGAGGACACAAAATGCTTAAAGGACACTTGTTAAACACATACAGAAAGGACACTTTTCTGTTGAAGTGAGACAAGTGCCTGGAGCTCCTGGCCTCAGGACTGGAATGCTGCTGCTGCGGCCTCCTGTGGTAGAAGGAGAGTTGCACCAGGCCTATGGTGAAGGGGGAAACAGATCAGATCTCACCTGTTTCCCCCCCAGACAGCTTTGCAGAACCCATGAGGGGATTTGCATTTCAATTACAAGCAGCATTGTTTGACATTGGTAATCCCATGCCCTAAATTATAGATCCTTTTGTAAGTACTACACACATATATGAATTATATATATATATTATAGTATACATGCGTATATGTATATATATATATATTTATCTATTAAAACTATGCATATGTAAATTAAACTATATATATATATATACGTATTATGATACACATAAATGATATGTATATGTATATATACATTTACACACATATACTATATGAAAATACATGTAATATAGTATACTATCATATAATATACCATAATATAATTCAATTTATTTTGATTCTATGTTATATTATATTTATTTGATCTTTTATAATATGATATAACATGATATTTTAATATATAGTACCAAAATATGATATGATATTATATAATATTATGATATAGTATGACATTATATACCAGTAGTACCGCACAAGGCGGTGGCGGAAGTTTCAAAAATAGGAAACCTATAGGAGAGCTTGGTTGTTGTGAATCAGGGATTTTCAGAGCGAAGCCACTGACGGACCGAAAGGTGCTTGAGGTCTCCTCTCTTTCTCTCTCTTTCTCTGACTACCTACCTACCTACCTACCAACCTATTATCTTCTATGTATCTATCTATCTATCTATCGATCGATCTATCTATCTATCTCTCTCTCTTTCATCTAATTACCTATCTATCTATCTATCTATCTATCTATCTGTCTACCTGTCTATCTGTGGTGCAGTGTCATCCAGTGTAATGTAGTGTAGTGTATTGGAGTGTAGTGGAATGTAGTGTAGTGTAGTGTAATGTAGTGTAGTGTAATTCAGTGTAGTG